ACCGGCCGAAAAATTTTTCGGCTAATTTTTTATAGGTGTCCCAGCAATAATGAAAACAGCTGTAATAAAAAGATCGCCGGAAAAATATCAGGAGTATAGTCTGTATAGAAAAATTTTTATATTCTTGATGTCAATAATTCGACGAGAAGTTAAATATATTATACAATCGGCATAGTACTGTATATACGTAATTATTATCTCGATATGTACGTACTAACTTGATTGATCATGATGGGCCGGAGACCAAAATATTAATAAATTTGTTTTTTTCGATTATTTCTTGAACTCTAGTGTTTCAAATAAAAATGAATTTAACACCATTCGATTCGCCTTGATAAGACGAATCGAATGGTACTAAAATTTTTCGATCCTGATCAGTGTATTTCGAAAAACTTCAGTGCGCCACCCGCGCCATAATACCCGACTCTACCTTATCTAAATCTATAGCGATAGTGGAATAATAATTTTTCTTAATATTTGTTAACACATTACACAACCATAACCTTAACCTTAACCTTAACCAAGAGAGTAAAATCCGTGAAACACTTAATTGACTTTTTGAGTTCGTAGATAAGATAACGATAATCAAACGGCGGCAAATGCAAATTTGGCAAATTGACGTTTCACGATTTTATGAGCGTCGTCGTCCTAATAACACCTTAACGTAATATTGATCATGGCCAATCCTGCTATTAAAACAAACTTCTATCATGCTCGAGGAGTATATAAATTCAATTAAATTTACGTGCGCTAAATCAATTCTTATGTGTGATTTACTGGTATATAAAAATCCTTTTTCAAATTTGTGTAGAGAAAACAAGAGTGTATATGCACAGTTACCTTAAGCGCACGTTCAATTTATACACTGCACGGGCTAGGCAATTTATTTTATCATTTCAATAGAAGTCACAAACAACGAAATCTTACATTCTAATACAGTATTAAGAACTCTTCTATCATCAGTTTTACTTTTTGGTAGAGATACGTACGCCTGTGCCTTAACGAAATTTGGGAAAATTGAAATGTTGTGCACATATTGTGTAATCTTTAATATTTATAAATTTCGTGCAAATATTTTGCGTACAAAAAAAAAAAAAAAAGATGCCAGAAAATCTTAAAGAATATATCAAAATGAATGAATATTTCAATCCATCCAAGTCATCATTGCACGCTTTGAGACTTAAGAAGCTTGCTCCAACTATTTTAATTTTCGGGATATTTACTATTTTATTTATGCTATATGATATTCATTCAGTTCCCTATAAATTTGCACAACATTCTGTTGGAATATCTCAAGAATCGTACAGAAATGGTGTTAATAAATGTAATATGATAAAACGCGCCAAGCCCGATAATAAATTTATACGGACAAGTAACCCTAGATTCGTTCCAGGAACAAAAACTATCATTTTGAAAAACGGAAAGATCTTAAATGGAAAAGGAGAATGTATTTTAGGCGATATCATTTTAAAAAATGGGATAATTCATGATATTGGACCGAATCTCACTGATGAGGATGCTATTGTAATTGATGTTAAGGAAAAATTTATTACGCCGGGACTTATTGATATGCATAGGTAATAAAAAAAATAATTTATTTGATTACTTTATTAATCTTTGACTCATTTATAACCTGAAATAATTTTTTAGTCATGTCGGTATCGAATCTTGGCCATTTTTGCCCATTACTTACGACTCGAACGAACGCACCGATCCGACTACATCTTACGTTAGCATTCAATCATTTTAATTTTTGAAATCTAAATAAAACTCTTTTAATAAGGTCTTTTCCATTTTAGGTTCGCGCTCAAGACGCCATCAATCCAAGTGATCCAGGTTAGTAAAAGTCAAAATGAACTGAATCGATCGATCACACCCTATAAATTCACATAAATTCATGCTTTGCTACATCATCTCAGGAATTAGAATTGTCGCATCCGGTGGTGTTACAACTTCATTGGGTAAGAAGAATTACTACCTGACTATTGACGTGTAGAAGAGCACTTGTATTTGTAACTATTTTGAGATAAACGTATCTTTCTAAGTGAGCAACCCAACCATCGGCTGGGCAACGTAGAAACTCTGAATTAGTTTATGGATCATAATGATTAACTTCTAATTTAGCGTTATATTTTTGATATAGTTATACCTGGTAGCGCTAATTTGATAGGTGGTGAAGGCTTTGTTATGAAAATGCGTTCAGTCGATACTCTGTCGGTAGATGATATGGGAATTAATGCTAATATTGATCCTGAAAAAGAGAGAGC